GGTATTTTTAAGAGTTGTCACGTGATTTTTCTCACATTTTAACCAGATCCTTCTGGAAAACTCTAGAGACTATTTTGTGTGGATTGTAAGGATTAAAACAGGCAGGACTCATATATCAGTGAAACAGAGGAGATACCTAGAAACTGATTGGCATGCATGAAACTGGAATCATAATAAGTAACATTTCACATGAATGAGAAATTTCTTTTTATTCAATAAATGGTGCTAGATTAATCTGTTTTTCATAGGCCAAATAGTAAACATAGCTCTTCATCACACCTTGTACAAAAAATAAATTCCAAGTGGATAAAGGTTAATATTTAAATTTGGAAAGAAACATTTATAAAATTTTTAGGTTAAAATGGAAGAGACTGTTTATAGTTTTTCTAATGGGAATGTGGAAAATTTCTTAAAGGGACAAAATGCATAGATATTGATAAAATTTTTGACAAATTTGATTACACTAATATATGAACCCATCTCATTTTAAAATTCATCCCAGAAAACATTTGGGCAAAAAAAGATTAGACTATAAATTTCAATTGTTAAAATGAGTGAAATAAATAAAAATATATTCAGTAAGAATGAATCAAACAGATTATAGAGAATTTAGCAAAAATATTAACAGACATTTCAAAAAATACATCATATTGTCAATTAACATGCCTTATCTTAATCTGCTCCCAGTTACCTTATCTCTTTTCCATAACATATGTCATCTTCTAAGGTACTATATAATTTACTTTGTTAATAAGTGTATTGTTTTTACACTTGTCAGAATATAAAGTACGTAAGTATGTGATTTTCCTTCTTTTTTTCACCTATGTATCCCAGATACTTAAAGTAAGATCTGGTGCATATTTGGTGCTCAGCAATATTTCTTGACTCTATGTCTCTCACCAATAATCAGAAAAATGGAAATTAAAATTACCTGCAATTTCATATGCATCAGATTAGCAACATGTATGAAGTTTGAAAATATCTTGTCAATAGATAAACAAATGGAAGAATCTATACATTGTTGTTAGGAGATCATATGGAGATAAATTTGCCATTATATAGTGAGTTTGAAGATGGGATATTTCCAGCAATTTTACTTTTTACATTGTTGGAAGACAGTTCTGTATGGATCTTTCATGTTTCTATACATTTTGCAAGCAACCGATGAATGTCTTGTTTGCTGCCTTACTTTGAAGAATGTTTGGATAACAAACATCTTTGTAAGATGAGATAGTGGTTCCCTTTGTAACAATGGTCAGGAATGCTTGTCACAATATAATAACCATAATGTCTGAAGGCATGTTTACTGCCCATTATAAAAGATGAGGTTAATTAAAGTAAAGTTTCCTTTCCTCTAATGCTATCTATTATACAGATATGTCAGGGGTCCATTTTGCATCACCCTATGGTAAGTGGGGCTCAGGGATTTAGGATGAAATTGCTGATACTCTGGCTATCACTGTTGCTGTGAATAATAAATTCTTATTAAGGAAGGAAGAATTGAAGAAGTGGTTGCAGGATGCATACCAGG